TGGCATTTTGATTAAAATAACTTCTTGCTTTTGGACTGGACCTGGGGCCTCACTTGAACTTATGTTCACTTTATAAAAGATACCAGTTCATGCAGGTTCTATGCTCATTTGAAACGTATGCACCTGTGATCTATAAATTTAAAAAATACAATTTCCCATTGTATAATTCTTGCACTGAAGGGTTATGAATAATAATATATGGAGTGGCTGATCAGGCTAATCATCTAATTGTACTCAGTTTCTAATGGCAGGAAGGTGTGGCCCATTTGCGTTTATCTGTCACTCACTGCTGAAAGTCCAGAACACAATGAAAAAAACGAATATGTTTATACATAATAATGGAATGAACTGAGGTTTATTATGAAAGAGATGCCATAATCTTGCACCCCCAGGTATAGAACTAGACGCTCATGATTCCTATCGCTTTGTTCACCACAGGCTTGGGTGCATATGTGTCGTCAATACCCCTTCATAACCAGAGATAAGGTAATTTCTATCAAAGTAAGGTTTTATAAATTACTACTTGTACATGGTTCATATAATAAATTCATAATAAAGATTAAAAATATATCTTAAGTCAGTTACATAAATGAGGTCCCAGGTCTCCTCAGGACATGGTGTCTATATATAGCACAAAATATTATAAGTGTAAAATTGGTTCTGATGGATGAAGACCCAAACAAACACTGTAAAAGTCAGCATTTGCACTCACAGTTAAAAAAGGAGTCCAAGTAAAAGTAAGTAAAAAACAATATCAGTTGTGTGTGGAAGGGTATGTCTGAACATTTTGTCTCAAGCTGTTACCGTACCTGATGACTAACAGCAGAGCACATACTAGTACTAGCAGTGCGACAACTATGATGATGGAGACTGTCGGTGTCACTTGGTCTGAAACATACAAGGGACAGTGTAAGGTTAGATTTCTTTTTATCAAGAAAGAAAGGGATACATCTGTGTAACTTTGTGAAAACATTTCATTAAAAAAGAAGATGATTATGGATTAGTTACAGTGTATCACTGCCCATGATTACAATTAGTGTGGTAGTAGAAAATATTTTGGGGCATTTCTGATTTAGTATTTCAAACACAAATTGAAGAAATATTACAGTATGCTGATGTCATTAGTCAAATAAATAAATGAATTAATACAATAAAAATGTTAACAAAACCTGAACATTTTTAACCACTCAATAAAACTTTGGCACAACACAAACCGTGACTTTGTGCAGATGTATGAGGCTCAAAGCTGTAGACATAAAACCTCTGAGTAGCAGATCCCAGAGAGTTGGAGCTGCGGCAGAACAAAGTGGAAAGATTCCTCCATTGTGGTTGATTCACAGTGATGATTATCCTCAGACTTGTCTCATTTAGAGGCTCATTGCTGATTGCAAACTTGTCAGAGTGATTGACGGGTAACTCATCCAAATACCACTGTAAAGTGGGTGAGAAGGCTTTCCACAGCTCACAGGACAGTTGAGCGTGGTCTGCAGTTTTTGGTGCAATAAGATGAGGGCAGGATCTGTGGAGCAACTGCAATGAATGTAGAGAAGACCGACAAGTTAAGAGTCAAGTAAAGTCATATTTAATCAAGTTAGCAAAAAATTACTGTATTTCTGGGAACCCAAGGAAGTGTAGTGTCATACTTGGCACAATTTGGATACGACGATTGAATAAACAAGCGAACAGCCCTCTGTGCACAGGTGTGGTTTCAGTCACTAAAAAAAACAGTTCAATCATGTGATACTCACACTGAACATCTATTTGACTGATGTTGGATCGTCCCAGCTCCAAGATCATTTTCAGCCATGCAGAAAAAAGGACCACTGACTTCCAGAAGCTTTCATGTTTTAAAACACGTTCCGGTCCCAATAAAAGTCTCCTGGCCTCCATCAGCTCTGTACCAGGTGTAGGTTCCTTACTGCTGCGGTTGGCAGTACTACTGCATGTCAGAGTCACAGTGCTGTCTTCTGGTACTGGACCAGAGGGACTGACTGACACTGTGGTGTGTCTTGGGTGAATCTGAAAAAGAAATTATTACACTTATGGAAACTTATTATTTGTATTCATTGGTGTAATTTGCCCTGATCAAAAAAACCCTCAAAAAAGGTAGATTATGTGACTTGAGCTGTAATACATGGTACAGAAAGTTTAAGAGTTAAGTCAAGCTAACTCTTTTTGACTTAACTTCATTTTTCTGTATAATTAGAATTATAATAATATATAATAATAATTAATTGTAATTATTTCTGTATAACAATAATTTAAGGGTATTTACCGGGAGGTTGCTGTTGACAAATAATACTACAATAAAATAATACAATTTGATCTGTCTTAATGTCACAGATAACAAATGAACTCACATGAAATATCAGCTGTGTAAAACTTGTGCTGACAAATGACTCAGTGCCTGCCATCTTGTTTCTTGTTTAGACGGCAGTACAGGAGATTTCCTGTCTGTGATGGAGGTGAGAAGCAGTGAAGTTCACAACAGAGGTCTTGACTTTAGTTTTGTCCTGATTCTCCTCCAAGTGTCTCCTGACTGTGACCCAGGCTGGGGGGTCCATGTCAGAGTTGGAGGATGAGACAGACAGGGAGCTGGAGCAGGAGCACTTCAAACTCACTGAGCGTTCCTCCTCCACCTCCATGTGTGGACGGAGTCAGAGAGTCACGTCTGGGAGGATCATCTGGTGGGAAGGTACATTTTGACCAGTCAGTAAAAATGTAATTCTTCCCATTTTTATATATGATTTGTATATTGGCTTGCCAATAAATACGGCAAAACAAGGGTCAAAGTCTCATGCCCCTCCTCACGTCCGGG